ATTTTGTTCACAAAGTACACAATTTATAGATAGTCAATTAATGTGGCATTTTATAAATTACTACTTTAGAAATAAAACCAGTCTGACTACAAACCAAAATACAAACAGATTCTAAACAAGGCCTCACACTTTACAAGCATTATCTGAGCTAAAATGTCACCTCTTCTTTTCATTGATAAAACTTTTATTTCTCTCAGGACAGTGACTTGAAAGGAATTCGGTTATTTACATATAGTATTTATCAATTAAAAAGCTTTGATTAAAGATTTAGCAGCATCTTATGTTTGTTTAATACATCCTCATCAGTGGTGTGACCGTTTGATCTTTACTTACAAATTCCGTGTCTGATACTATCTCTCTCACTAACACCTGAAGAAGGACCGAGGCTCTGAAAGCTTGTGTTTTCAAATAAACCTGTTGGACCATAACCTGGGGTTGTGTGATTTCTGACCTCATTCAACAGGGAGCATGGAGCTTTTGCTTCACACAATCCAAATGATGGCATGTCCAACAGTACAGCTGTCCCGTAGTGCTGCATTGGAATATCAGTTAATTTGGCTTGATTTGATTTGTTGTTGTCGCGTGTACCTAGGTACAGTGAAAAGTTTTGTTTTGTGTGCAGTACAGGCAGATCATACCATACAAAGTGCATTGAAGGTAATAGAAAAGACCAAGGAGTGCAATGTTACAGCTGCAGAGAAGGTACACAAAGAGCAAGATCAACACTAAATTGAAAATTTGAGAAATCAGTTTAAATGGCTAATAACAGCAGGGAAGAAGCTGCTCTTCAACCTATTGGTATGTATGTTTAAGCTTTTGTATCTTCTACCTGATGGAAGAGGTTGGAAGAGATTATAACCAGGGACTTTGATGATGTTGTCTGTCTTCCTGAGGCAGCAAGAGGTATAGTTGGCGTCAATGAATAGAAGGAGCGAATTACTGCAGATGCTGAAATCTGTACTGGGGACAGCACGGCAGCACAGTGGTCAGCACTGCTGCCTCATAGAGCCAGGGACACAGGCTCGATCCGGCCTTGGGCAAGTGTCTGTGTGGAGTTTGCACATTCTCTCCATGTCTGTGTGGTTTTGCTCACAAGCCACAGGTAAAGTGCCAGATATGCGGAGAATAGCTAATGTGGTTCCTTTGTTCTGGTGCTTCTGGTCCAAAATGGTGGCAGAGCATAGCTCCTTGTACACTCCAACTGCTTCTCTCTTTCTTATTCTCCTCTCTTTTTTTAACTTACTTATCATGCCCTAAGCTTGGATGGCATCAGCGAAACAGTACAAACTTTGAGCAGTCTCGAACCAGGCCCAGGTACAGACCTTGTGTGGGCCTATAGTGAACATCAAGCAGGCCCAGTGTGAGGACTTTGAGGCAGGTCCAGGGTGTGGACCTGAGCTGGGTCCAGGATGCGGGCGTTGAGCTGGGCTCAGTGGTGGACCTTAGGGTGGGCCCAGGGTGCAGACCTTGAGGCAGGTCCAGGGCGTGGACCTCGAGCCGGACCCAGTGAGGAGGAGAGTGAGCCCCTTCTTGTTTTACTGGAGCAAGCACAGGACTTGGAATTGGTCGCTGCTACATCGGCAAAGGCAAAGTCAGTGAGGTAGGACTAGTGGCAAAAAGATGGATCAGTGATTTTATTGTTGGTTGCATGCTGTGCTGGAGGTGACAAAGTGATGCTGGAAGGGCACCATGGCAACATTGATGAGGTTTGCCCAGCAACAAGAGAGGTGACTGACAGTGATTCTGGCGCAGGAGGCAACGAGGTGGCTGCAGAGCAGTATCAGACCAGAGGCAAGGATGGCACCTGACAATTGGCAACTTCGCTGTTGGTTGAGTCCAATGTAGGTGGCAACGGAGCGGTGTGGAGGGATGGCGGTGCAGGGGTCATTGACAGTGATGAGCTGGCTCAGGACTGATCAACTTTCTTCGAGCGATATCTTCCTTTTTCCATATTCTTAAATCATTCAAAACGGCATCATTTCGTGGCAACAAATGTAAGCTCTTCATTGTATTCATATTTTTACTGCAAAATACCTGTGACAATAAAATCAAAATCAAAATCAAAAATCAAAGTGTAGAGGGGCAGCAGGGATAGGCCAGGTAGTAATGAGCTGTTATTCTCATGTCAGTGGTAGAGAAGTTATTGGTAAAAATTTTGAAGCACAGTATTAATTAATACTTGGAAAGGATAGATTCGGAATAGTCAGCGCTGATTTGCCAGACGGAGATCTTGTCTGACTAATTTAATTGAGAATTTTGAAAAGGTGACAAAATAAATTGATAAGGATAGTGCAGATTTTAGCTACAAAAGAATGTCAGATGTTGGGAATACTGTGGTGAGTAACTCACCTCCTGACTGCCCAAAGCCTAACCACCATTAGAAGGGGTGTGATGGAATATTCCTCAAATGCCTGGATGGGTGCAGTCTAACTACATTCCAGAAACTTGACACCATCCAGGACAAAGCAGCCCGCTTGATTGGCACTACATCCACTAGCACTCACTCCCTCTACCACTGATGCTCAGGAGCAGCAGTGTGCAATATTTACAAAATGCACTGCAGAAATTCACCAAAGATCCTTAGATAGTTCCCTCCAAGTGCACAACCACTTCCATCTAAGAGGACAAAGGCAGCAGGCACAAGGGAACATCACCACCATCAAATTTACCTCCAAGCCGCTCACCATCCTGACTTGGAAGTATTTCATCATTCCTTCACTCTGGCTGTGTCAAAATCCTGGAATTCCCCCCTTAATAACATTGTGAGTCAACCCTCAGCAAGTGGACTGTAGTGGTTCAAGAAGGCAGCTCACCACCACCTTCTCAAGGGCAACTACGGATGGGCAATAGGTGCTGGCCAGCCAGTGACGCCTACATCCCACAAATGAATCAAAAAAAAATTATGTGGTTTATATTGACCTCAGCAAGGCCTTTGACAAAGTCCCATATGGAAGGCTGGCCCAAAATGTAAAAGCCAATGTAATTCAAGGCAGGTTGGCAAGCTGGATCCAAAACTGGCTTGCGAATAGGAAGCAATGGGTGATGGTGGAGAGTTGTTTTTGTGCTTGGAAACCTGTGACCAGTGGTGCACCACAGAGATCAGTGCTGGTACCTTTGCTGTTTGCTCTCTACGTTAATGACTTGAATGTGAATGGAGAAGGTATTATCTGTAAATGTGCAGATGACACGAAAATTGGTGGTGTTGTTGATAGTGAGGATGGTCTCAGTCTACAGTTTGTTATTGATCAGCTGGTAAATTGGACACAGCAATGACAGGTAGAATTTAATCCTGATGAGTGTTAGGTTATGCACTTTGGGAGGTCTCATAAGGGGAGGATATACACAGTGTAAGGTAGATCCTTAGGATGCACTGAGGAACAAAGGGACATTGGTGTACAAGTGCATTCATCCCTGAAGGTGTCAGCACAGGTAGACAGGGTAGCCGGGGTGTAGAATATAGGGGCAGGGAAGTCTTGTTGGAACTTTATAAAGCATTGGTTCACCCACAGATGGAGCACTGTGTGCAGTTCCGGCTGCCACACTATCAGTAGGATGTGATTGCACTGGAGAGGCTGCAATGGAGATTCACCAGGATGTTGCCTGGGTTGGAAAATCTCAGTTATGAGGAGAGACTGGATAGGCTGGGTTTGTTTTCCCTGGCGCAGAGGAGGCTGAGGGGGAATCTAATAAGGGCATACAAAATTATGAGAGGCATATATAGAGCAGATTCTGAGAACGTTTTCCCCCTGGCAGACATATTTAAGACCACAGGGCATGGGTTGAAGGTGAGGAATAAATAGTTTCGAGGGAAAATCGTTTTCCCCCAGAGGGTGGTAGAAATATGGAAGGTACTGCCTTGAGAGGGTGGTGGAGACAGGTACTCTCACATTATTGAAGAAGCTTCTGGATGGGCACTACTAATTCCAGGGCACAGTTGGCTATGGATCAGTGCCGATACATAGGATTATTGCAGTTTGATATTGGCATGGACATGGAACAAAGGGCCTGTTTCTATACTGCATGACTCTATGACTCAATGATTGTATTTCCAGCATCTGTGATTTTTTTTTCGTATCTGCTGGGAGTTTGGAAGAGTGAGAGGTGACTTGATTGAACCATACAAGATCCTGAGGGGACTTGACTGGGTAGATGCGCAAAGGATAGTTCCTCTTGTGGGAGAATCAGAACTAGGGGGCAGAGTTTAAAAATAAGGGTTGCGCATCTATGACAGAGGCGCATCTGCCACAGAGGTTCATACATTTTAGGAACTGTCCCTGCAAAAGGTGGTGGAAGCAAAGTCCTTGGATATTTTTAAAGCAGAAGTGGATAGATTCTTCTTTAACAAGGGGTTGAAACATTATCTTGGATAGGTGGAATGTGGAGAATCAAATAATCCATGAACTTTGTGGAACAGGCTTGAGGGGCTGAGTGGCCTACTTCTGATCTTAGTTTGTCTGATCCTTTAGATGTTTGTACATTAACACGGGCTTGGACGTTGAAGGAGTGAATCCTTGTCAGATACCTGCCCATCAATAGTCGTTGGAAGATGGGGGAAGGGTGAAGAGAATTGTGTTGGGGGAGAAGGCTTTGTAACATTCACTGGGAGAAAGCACTGGGATATATGCACTGCACCATCTCTCTACCGACCTGGTTAACCCATTCTCATCTGACCCAGGTGGGACACCTCTGCTGCCCATTTAGCTTCGGTATATGTTTGAGCTGTCACTTCCTAACAGACTAATAAACAACTTTCAAATCACTTATGATCTGGATCCCACTTTATGTAATCTGTGTGATCCCAACCTAAAGCTAACACAGAGCCTATGGATTTTGACATGAGCGTGACTCACTGCATTCAAATGAAAAAGTATTTATGTATTCAGTACAAATTTAGATTGGTTTCGTTGAGAGTGATTGGTGAATTACTTTCCGAGGACAGCCCCAATTACTCATGCCTTCCTCTTTTAGTGGTTTGTATTCAAGCTGTAACAACCGGTTAGAGAAGTAGAGTGAAATGCAGCCACGTCTGCAATATCAGCAGTGTCACAGCATTCTGTGCAAAACAGCAAGGCATTTAGAATTTGAGAAATAAGTTTGCTTAAAATGTCTGTTCGCTTAAAATTCTCAACCCTGACTCTGATCCTCTGCCTCGCAGTGGGTAAGTAAATGTTCAGGACTGGCTTTTCATTTTCATTACATTTTTGAGTTTGATTCATGTGTCAGACAGAAGTATGTGGGTTGGGTATTTTGTAGTCACATTTTTTTGTTCCAAAATTGAGATCTTAATTTGATTTTCTTGTGGTTCAGTGGGCAAATACTGTGTCAGATTTGACACTGAGTGACACAGGTCAGTTGTTAGCATGTGGGAGGCAACCAAATTTGGAGAGAAATCATCTCACTTGCAATATTCTTCAAGGTTGAGAAGTCATCCAGCTGTTTTATGCAGACTTTTGATGAACAGTCGCTGTCATGAGGTAACAGAAGACAGGCACCATCTGTGAGGTCATGACAATATTATCCGAAAGAAAAAGCTTACATAAGAAACAAAGATAGTGTAAAAGAAAGGGAAAAGGAAACAAGGAGATGAGATGAGGAGGAATTTCTTCAGCCAGATGCTGGTGCATCTGTGAAACTCATTGCCAGAGAGCAGAGAATAGAGTTGAAAAACATAACAGCCATGATCAAATGGCAGATAAGACTCAATAAGCCAAATGGTTTAATTCTGCTCCTATGTCTTATGGTCTTATGGATTTGGAGAAAATGTAAACGTGAATACAGAAAAAGTAGCTTGTGCAGAAGATAAAAAAAATCTTTTCAATTATGTGAAGAGGAAATAAGTGGTTTAGTTGGACCATGGGCCCACCAAGGATAGATGTAGGCAATAAGGATTAAAAAGGAAATAGCCAGACTGCTCATTGAAAACTTTGCAGCCCATCCAAACACAAAGAAATGGAATTACTACGTTTTAAAAAATGAAGTAACCATCAGGCCTGGAGATGAATAACTCTGCATGACCTGGTGATTTCTGTGTCAGGATATTAACAAGACAGAAGAGAAAATGATGATGATGTTCACATCATATTTGAAATTTTGTAGAACTAGAGATTATGTTATTGAAATTGAAAGCCACAAATGTCACTTTATGTTTGAAGAAAGGAAGGAGGCAGTCAACAAATATTTACCAGTGTGCGTGTGCTTAGTGTTGGTTTGAGGCAAGTTACCAGAATATAGAATGATAAGTTGTAGCAGCAAAAGGAGGCCATTCAGCCTATCAAGTCTGCTCTGCCATTCAATTAGATCATGGCTGACCAATTCTGCTTTCCTGTCTTTTCCCAATAACTCTTGATTTCCTGGAATGATTAAAAAATCTGTCTATCTCAGCATTGAATCAGAGATAGAGAGATTGAACATATGGACAAGTGTAATCAATCTGTCTGAAGAGTCCCTATTGATTTGTAAAAGGTTGGTCATGCCTGCTGATCTAGTTGAATGTGTTCAGTAGGTTGTCAATGGACTAAACGGGGCAGTGTGTATGGGTTCATCCAAACTGGTTGTCACCCCAAGTATGTGTGAAGTATTGCATTTTAACAAGAATAATGAGGAGGCTGCACATTACTTCACAAAGAGGAATCTAAATAGGGTAGGGTAGGAATGAAGACATAGGTCACTAATGGCGGTGACACAGATAGACAAGTTCGTAAAAAGCAACTGTGACAAGAGCATTTCAATTTGCGAGATGTAAGATACAAGACGGCAATCTGATGTTGCCGTTAACATTTGTCAGACCACTCCTGTATTATGCATACTATTCTGTCTGTCATGTTATGGAAATGATATAGAGTTTCTGGAGACAGTTGAGAAAAGATTGGTAAGGATGTTGGCAGAAATATGGGTGTCCAGTGTACTAATCAAGAGAAAATTAACAGCATTGGTTTTGTTATGATTGAAAACAGATGTGACCTAATAGGAATCATTAATGTAATTTGTGGCGAAGAGGGACTGTCCATACCCCTAGACCAGGAGGCCTGGGTTCAAGTCCCCACTTGCTCCAGAGATGTGTAATAACATCTCTGAACAGGTTAGTCAGAAAAATAGGGAGAAACTTTGTCTCTGTTTCTAATTTTCTACAACAGCACTAGGAGTCATCAATGTAAGATAATCACAATGGTACTGCATCAGACAGGGAGTGGTGCGTGTGTTACCCTCATTGCCACAGAGATTGTTTGAGGTAATTTAGATACAATTTAAAGGGAAACCAGACCCTTTAAAGAAGGGAGAAGTGAGTAGAGAGTTAAAATGATGGCCTGAGCTAGGGAAAGAAAGGACGAGTCTTGAAAAATCATCGACATGAATGTAGGCTGACTGTTGGGTTGAATGGCCTATTCAATTTCTGTATATTTAGAGGAGCTGACAGCCTATTTATGGTATTATTGTGAGACTATTAATCCAGAGACATAGGTGATGTTCTGAGGACAAAAGTAAAAATTGTTGGAGAAACTCAACAGGTGTGGCAACACCTGCCAGAGAGAAAAATAGATGGAACACTTTGAGTCCAGTAACCCTTCTTTTCTTTCATTCATTCATGGGATGAGGGCGTCACTGGCTAGGCCAGCATTTATTGCCCATCCCCACTTGCCTAGAGGGCAGTTATGAGTCAACCACATTGCTGTGGGTCTGGAGTCACGTGTAGGCCAGACCAAGTAAGGATGGTGGTTTCCTTCCCTAAAGGACATTAGTGAACCAGACGGGATTTCCCTCAACAATTGGCAATGGATTCATGGCAAACATTAGACTGTTAATTCCAGATATTTACTGAATTCAAATTCCACCATTTGCCACGGCTGGATTCAAACCTGGGCTCCCAGAACGTTCCCCAAGTCTCTGGATTAACAGTCTAGTGATAATACCACTAGCCCATTGCCTCCCCTCTGCTAGGGTTTCGTGGGAGAGAATAAAGGACATGGAGATGATGCCCAGAGAAAGAGAGAGAAAGAGGAGGGAAAGGCAAACAATGAGAATGCCTACTCTTTTCATCTAGCTCTCTCTGGGCACTGTCTCCATGTCCTCTCTTCTCTTCTCCCTATCCTCTGCAAACCCCATCATCATCATAAATGCCCCTCTTCCCCGGCTATCTTCAGTTCTGACAAAAGATCACTGGACTCTGTTTCCTTCTCTCCACAGATGCTGCCAGACCTGTGGAGTTTCTCCAGAAATTTCTGCTTTTGTTTCTCCAGCACCCGTAGTTCTTTGTTTTTATTTGAGACAGGCTGGTGTTGCTTCCCTTCGAGCTGCAAAGGTTGACACGGGACAACATGGAGATGTGTAAAAGTATGACAGACTTGATGGGGTAGATAGGAAGTGGAGGGGTCCACTTGGGAGGGGGAGGGGGCCCATAGAAATAATGTGAGAGGTGGAAGACTAAGAGGAGAATTGAGGAGAAAGTTTTCACTCAGAGGTTGTGGGAGTCTGGAACTCACTTATTAAAAAGGTGATTGAACCAGAAGCTCTTGAAACATTGACTAACTGCACCATAGAGATCTACGACACAGAAAAAGGCCCGACAGCCCATCATGTCTGTGCTGGTCAAAAACAACCATTTGACCATTCTCATCTCATTTTCCAGCAGGCTAGGTGGGTTAGTCATGGTAAATGCAGAGTTACAGGGATAGGATAAGGGGCTGACTGCTCTTCAGTGAGTTGGTGCAGACTCAATGGGCCAAATGGCCTCTTTCTGCACTGTAATCATACAAACTGTGCAGTGCTGAAAGAGGCCATTCAACTCATTGAGTCCACACCGACCCTCTGAACAACATCCCACCCAATCCCCAAATGGGATTTTTAACATGGCTAACTCACCTAATTTGCACACCCCTGGACTCTGCAGGCAATTTTTAGCATGGCCAATCTACCTAACCTGCAATCTTTACGCTGTGGGAGGAAACCAGAGCACCTGCAGGAAGCCCATACAGATGCGAGGAGAATGTGCAAACTCCACACAGACTGTCAACCAAGGCTGGAATCAAATCTGGGTCCCTGGCACTGTGAGGCAGCAGTGCTAACCACTGAGCCACCGTGCCACCCTTACAAATAAGAATACAAATGAGAAGTTTTAGATTCACTGAACTCACTATATTAGAACATTCAAATTAATATTAACTGCCCTCTTGCACCCCAATGTCTTAAAATTGTCCAAGATATCTGAATGTTCAGGTTTTTCGTCGGGTAATGAAGAGCCCATTGAAATTGATTATTTTTGCTTCAGATGTTCATTTGGTTAATGATTCCAGAACTGACTAATGGCTGGTCCAAAAATCCTCCTAATGAAAATGGAGTGGCAGAGGCTGAGGGAACACTTGATAGAAGTTTATAAAATTATGAGATACATAGATCGGTTTGATGGTCAGAATCTTTTTCCCAGTGTTGAAATGTCTCATACTAGGAGCTGTGCATTTAAAGTGAGAGGGGACAAAGTCAAAGGAGATGTGAGGGACAAGTTGTTTTACACAGAGTGGTAGGAGTTTGGAATGCACTGCCAAGGGTGGTGATGGAGGCAGGTACAATAGGGGAATTTTAAGGGGCTTTTAGATAAGCACATGAATAAGGAAGGAATGAAGGGGTATGGACCAAAGGCAGGCAGAAGGTATTAGTTTAATTTGGCGTCATGTTCGACACAACATCATCGGCCGAAGGGCCTGTTCCAATGCTGTACTGTTCTCTGTTCTACTGAAAACAACTTCAAGCTGTTCAAACATTTCTTCATTGCGTCCATTCTTGAAATGTAGAAATTTACTTTTCACAAACCGTATTTCCCAGATCTCTTTTGAAATATGGGTTTGTCAGTAACTTATAGCTAAATTGAAGACTGAGCAATTCTTTAACAAGAGAACATTGTGAAATAGAAGTAATACTCCTGGGAATTGCAGCAATAAACCACTTTATGGTAAACAAAATCCGCTTTATTTTTACAACTCAATTAGTCAGCAGGTATGTCTGAGAGGGATTGGGTATGGGTGTGCAATACAGGATATTGTCCACCAAATTCCCACTTTGGGGGGAACAGCAGAAAGTGGATAACCTGAGGATGTTTTCTCTTGCCTGGGAGACAGAAACAAGTGACCACAGTTTCACAAGAACAATTCTACCTTTTAAAGCAAAGAT